GGTTAGGGCGGACCTGGAAACAACAGCAATTAACCTCCCGATCAGTTGCCGGATGTAGTTTATTGTCATACCCAGGACGCTTCGTTGGTGGGGGTTAACCCTCTGCAGAGGTGCGTATTCTGTACCCCCAGTCGAATAGGCGGTTCTGTTCCTGTGTCCTCCCCAACCTCTCTCTGTGGATAAATGTTAGATTTGGCGCAAACAGAATATAGTAAAGACAGTAGATGCAAGAAAATTGGTTTTCAAGTAATCTATATGAGTAAAAGGAATTATTCTTCACAATTCTATCCATAGATGTTCCGAAATCCAAGCGTTTAACTAAACGCTCTTGTCAATCATTCCACCAAATGTTCCGTCTTTAAAAAGTGACAGCAAGTTAACAAGTAAACAAGGCGATCAGAGGACATCGAAACCATATTGCGATTGAAAGCAAAAGTTAATCGTCAATCAGATGAAATATAGCGTAGAACAACTGAATTCATTTTTACCTAAATGTCCACACTGAAATCATGCACTCAGCATCAAATTAGAAATTGGCTGACTACTAGCTGAAATAGTTTACGCGGGAAGGTTACTACGTCTTAAATAAATGTAATCAAAAATCGTCTGCGTGACGATGAACCAGAAACTCTTTACTGTGCGTCATTATCTCTATTTATAAAAGGCAGGATATGTGTGTGTGTGTGTGTGTGTGTGTAACGAATGTATGGCCACAATTTTCGACGGATTTGCACCAAAATGTACATGCACATGGTCTTAGTTATCAGAAATGCCAAGACCGACTTTGCATTTCCCAACTCCCATCGATAGTGGAAATAATCGATTTTCTCATGCTTCTACGGCAGTTCTCATATAGTTTGCGGCCATTTTCTACTGTCCAGAGTGAGAGCCTATATCTGGCTGCCACGAATAGGCAGGAAGATTCTATTGGCCAGTGTGAGAGCCAACAGCTGACTGACACGAATGTTAACTAGCATGCTAGCATGCAAAAAAAATCGATAGCTGCATTCGTTACAAGTGGAAAAAATTTAAATCTGCATGGCACTTTACTCCATTTGGCTCATTCGCTTGCTTAAACTCAACGTTGATTCTGATTCCGCAGAACTGGGTTGGGTGTGAAAAAGTATTTGTTGTTAACATTCTTTTTTCATTCGTTTTTTTCAGTTACGAGTCCTTTTTTATAGCTGATCGTTTTGTGTTTAGTTCTTTTTTCGTAACAGATTTAATGTTTAGTACAGAGCTTAGAAAAAATTCGCAGTGTGAGATAGACAAGAAGTAAGGCATGTTGCAACATGCTGCTAGTATCTTATAAAGCAAAGGTCGGCATGGATTAAAATAATTTTAACTAAAGTTTAATCCATGCACTTCTGTGAAAACTTGTAAGTTTAACACTATTTGCATTATTCGGATTATTGTCCTCATCTTTGTTGCCATATTTATTACAACATTTCGGCCGTTGTAATCTGAGGCCTTCTTCAGGTGGTTGGAATGTCGAACTTAACCCTTTATTTCACTCACTGGGTTAGACTGTTCTAGTTCTAGTTAATGGATGTCAGTTATCAGTTATCTCCTGTTAATTCCCTCTCCGAGTTCTCGCACTCTTTGGGTCCTGTCATTGGATCTAACTAACGCCTTTATCCACTGTGCCATGTTCCTTGAGGAAATATAGACAGATATTGTAAGTTTAAAAATAAAACTTGCTGTTTTTGTCTATAGATAATCAATGGATATGATTTTTTAGAAATAATTCTTAATACTATCGACTGTCAGTATGCCTAGTCGTGGAACCTGATACGGTTGTTGGGGCGCTACCCGGCTGAAAACAAGACCAGCTGGCTCAGTTGCTGGCAGTTGTGGGATATAAACGAAATTTCAGGAAATTTTCTCTCTATCCAATCACTGATATTGTTTACCTACTTCTTCAGCTCTTATCTTTCCATGGATCTTTATGGCGGAAGTTTCATCAGTCGTATGCATCTATCGTTTCGAGTGGTTGATAGCAAAAGTGGTCCCTTTTATACCAGCGACGACCTATCGTCAGTGTTTTGTTCATGTTTATGCAGCCTATATTTCTCTGTTACTTATACACCGCGTTTGGCTGGTCAATGAAATCCTGTCTTAACAGAGAGAACAGTTTTTTGGTAGACACCGGAAAGCGAAGATGCGTTGCAGATTTGTGTTTGGACACAAATTTTGTGACAAAGACAGCCTTTTGTAGTACCCACTAGATTTCCTTTTCAGGGTCGAAGAGAAGGCATGTAACACATGCACGTCATCCTGGTTATGACGATAAACTACATCTGAAAGCAAGGTCTTTGATCATGAGGCTTTGAGGAGCGTCTAACCACCTCTTAATTGCTGGTGTTCCCAGGTCCACCTGACCCGGGGCAGTAGCACCTGTTAGGATCCCAGCTATGGGCAAATAGTTAATCTCCAAACTGGGGTCAAAACACTATGAAAGTATAAAAAATAGGTTTCAATACCAGCAATATATTTTTGTAAAAATATTACCAGTAATTAATTTTTGAAGAAAAATTACTAGCAATAAAAATCTTGTCAGCATTAAATAACACATTGAGGTTGATATGCCGTAAAACAAAACAAACCAAACTAAACTATAACTAAATTATACAATATTACTTAGAACATACGCAGTAATAAATTAATAAATGTAAAGGTTTTCAGAATTTATGACACAAATTTTGTAACAAAGAAAGATCTTTGCAATGTCCACTAGATTTCCTTTTCAGGGTCGGAGAGAAGGCATGTAAGTCTTGCAGGTTCTGAACAGTTTCAATATCAATTCATCATTTAAACATGTGTCACAACCGATGATTTCTGACAGAAAAATATACTCTGTAATTAAAATCGTTTTCTAACAATAAAGTATCTAGAAATGTGTAGTTCGACGGAATTAGATAATTTATTAATTACTTAATTTCGTTTTGCAAAAATATTACTTACATTTTATATAACGAAAACTAAACTTTGTTTATAGTGTTACTTTCAAAGTTAAGTGGATATTAAGTCAATGTTCCTTGTGATGAAATCTTGCTCAAATTTACGAGCATTTCTTAGAAGCGCTGAAGTAGGAATAACCAAAAAAAAAAAAAAAAATCCTGATATTATCCACAAATGGAAAAGTATAACTTTTAAAACAACGTCACAGGAGGAGCAATGGTTTTGATTATAGCAATTAAAGAACAAATAAAAATAATCGTTTTTGTATACCACGTCAATCTCTGCAATTTTAATATTTTTAAAAGGATTTTATTATAGTGTTTTGTATTTAAGTTTAATATATCAACAGTGTTACCGCTAAAACTGTTTCTTTAAAAGTTTAATAGTAACAATCTAACAGTAACAATTTAATATTAACAGATATCTGGAGAGAATGCTTATCAAAGAAGAACAGCTAGTCAGACTGTTGATAGTAGAATAAATTCTATTTTTGCTGTGTACCTCAGGTGTGTGCTAGAATAAATTAATATGGGGCCTGACAAAAAAGATTATCTGGACTGTTGGTATAGTAACGGAGCTAAAGTACGCAGAGTGAAGCCGCTTGTCACAAATTGACCTTGGACACTGTCGTGTAAATGCAATAAATCATAACGTTTTCGCTCACTTCTGTTGTTTATAACAGTGCTTGAAATGAAAGTGTGTAGAGTGTGATCATCTCACCACACCACAGAGGTTACATCAGTGACCATTGCTTGTGTAGTAGTTTTGGTCAAGCACATTGTTCCGCAGGTTCGACAACGACCATATTCACCATATTTTGTCATTTATGGCTTTTTCCGTTTCAAAATTCAAATCCTACTTGAACGGAACAAAATTTCCAGACGACGAGGAAATCCATGGAAATGCGACTAGGCAGCTGCTCGCTGTTCCATAAAAAGGAGTTCCAGAAATGCTTTTGTCGATAGAAACGAGGCTGGGTAAAGTGTGTGGCTTCAGAATGGGGCTACTTTGAAGGAGATTAAATGCTGAATTGATGCGTGTTGTAGTTTTCTTTTAATATCACCATTTCCGATATTTTTTGATCAGACCTCCAATTCACAGAGAAGATTTGTCACATAGTGTGCTGTTTTTTTAAGTAAGTACAAGAATAAGACAAGCTTAATCTCCTCACAGATAAAGAAAAGACTTTAAGCAGCAGAAAAGAAGGATGCTGAGAATGGTATGGACTGAACATGTGAGCAACGACGAAGTTTTAGAGAAAACTGAAACAAAAACAACACTTATACTTAACATCAAAAAGGGTCAGTTGAAATTTATATTGAATATAATAAGGAAAAAGTCTTGGAAAATTTGATCCTCACAGAAGATATTGAAGACAAGAGGAACAGAGGAAAACAACGCAGAACCTACCTAGTGAACTTGTATATATGAATGGTAGGAAAGGGTTTAGGAGAAATAACAAAAAGACTAAATTTATTAAGAGCTACACAGAAAAGGAAATTGTGGAGAGGAATAATAGCCCCTGTCGTGAAACGATACATCACATAGAAGAATACTTCCATAGGACATCTATCATAGAGCCTTAGTCACAAATATAATTACGCAGTTCATTATAAATATACTAAAATCTATTTTTACTTTGGGTTTCCATTTTTGATATCCAATCTTGAAGAATAAATAAAGCTCGATAATTATGTCCAGTGTTTCCCTAAAAATCTTCTAGATCGAAGAAAGTATTATCCAAAATCTCCATATTTCTTCCAATAAATTTATCCACATTACTTACTTTGGCATTTCAAAATCGTCACAGATTTCAAAACTCATTGATTTGATTGATTCGGATTGTAAGGATCTTTTTTGTTGGAAATACTAATGGTTTATTGATATAAATTTTACTAAGTAACCCATAGCTGTGGTGAGAAGGGGTGGATTAATACTTTTGCGCATAAGTGAATATAACGAACCCAACTGGAACTGGAACTTGGCTCGCTGATTAAAAATTCCAAAACATTTTCCATTACACCACACGCACATCCAAGCTTACAGCACCTGGTATTCTCAAGCAGTCACCCATCTCGGTACTGACCAGGCTCGACGCTGCTTAACTTCGTTGATTGTACGTGAACCGATGTTTCAAGGTGATATAGCCATAAAGCGATTGAATGTGTGATCAGACTAATTCATTTAATAGCTTCTATTTTAAAAATAAAAGGAGATGCTAGAACAACGTGGGAAGAATAAAATTTAATGTTTCAACTTTTTACTGGATTGGTGCATAATTATCAGGCGTTTTTATAGACGAGTTGTTTTGTTTACTTTTTTAATAAAAATATTTTATTTTCAGGTTATAAAAATGCGTGTCGATAATCATACGCTCCGTAATAATCATTTAAAAATGTTATTATTGAATTATGTTTCTTTTTTCATAAATATTGTTTCAAAAACGCCTGATAATTATGCACCAATCCAATAAAATTGAAAGCTCAATTATTATATATCGATACAAATATTAATATAGTTATTGTAAGCTACGTTATCTTCTCTTATACATCATACACATTCTGAGTGAGAATTTATTCGCTTCTTAAAATGTACTTACAGAATTATCTTTCACTTCTTGCTTTAAGTGTTTCTTTTGAGCTTGAGTTGGTACAGGGAAAATGTACACGTATTTGAAATAAGAGTCATTTCTCTTTATTTGATTTCTTATATGTCAGAAAGTAACGTAGATATTTTATGCTGCGTTTGTAAAGTTTTCTTTCCTTGTACATCATCAAGACCCGTAAACATTTAACGGTTATTTTTTTTTTACTAAGTAAAGGCACGAGCAGTACATGAATTTTTGTTCAATTCACCCCAAACAAGGCGATAATCCCATTAAGACTCAATGACTGCTGGAAATGAAAGAGTGCAAAAACACTTTAGAAGGAAACGGAAAGACAATTCTAAACCTTTTCTCCTGTTCAAAAGACCGAGGAGGAGTGTGAACCGGACGATAGGCGAAGATATCTAATCGTATTAAATTTACACGCCTTAAAATATAAACGAAATGGCAAAAAATGCAGTATTTTGCTATATGAGGTGTATGCGTCTATATGTGGTGTTTGCTATATGAGGTGTATGTGACTAGGCAGCTGCTCGCTGTTCCATAAAAAGGAGTTCCAGGAATGCTTTTATCGATAGAAACGAGGCTGGATAAAGTGTGTGGCTTCGGAATGGGGCTACTTTGAAGGAGATTAAATGCTGAATTGATGCGTGTTGTAGTTTTCTTTTGATATCACCATTTCCGATATTTTTTGATCAGACCTCCAATTCACAGAGAAGATTTATCACATAGTGTGCTGTTTTTGAAGCAAGTACAAGAATAAGACAAGCTTAATCTCCTCACAGATAAAGAAAAGACTTTAAGCAGCTGAAAAGTGGATCTACAGAAGGATGCTGAGAATGGTATGGACTGAACATGTGAGCAACGACGAAGTTTTAGAGAAGGCTGAAACAAAAACAACACTTATACTTAACACCAGAAAGAGTCAGTTGAAATTTATATTGAATATAATAAGGAAAAAGGCTTACGTCCATGTCACGTAGAAACACTGGTTCTCGTATGTTCACCGAAGTTAAGCAACATCGAATGTTTCTTGTACCTAGATGGGTGAACGTTTTTTTATAATTTTATAAGTTTCAGCAAAAGATAATACTGGATACTCGGTCAATAAATACAGAATGTTTCCTTAAAAAAATGTCTGATGTTACTATTACGATTATCCTCTATTTTCTGAGTTTAATGTAGGGGGCCTGAAAGACTTTAAGCAGCAGGGGGTCCAAGAACTGTCAGATATAGGGAGTAATAGCCTTTACTCTGCTACATTGACTCATTGTTGGTAAGCGGTATGAATACAATTTCTTGGTCACGCGATCACCAAAGTTAAGCAACGTCGATCCTGGTCAGTGCCTAGATGGGTGACCGCTTGGCAATACCAAGTGCTGTAAACTTTGCGTGCGGTGTAATGTATAACGGCTTAGAATTGGAAATCGGGGATCCTAGTTCCAATTCCAGTCGTGTTCGTTATATTCCCGTAAGTACAAATACCCTTGCAAGGGTATGAATACACCTCTTTCTCCCAGCTATGGGTTAATTAGTGGGATTTATATCGGTAAATTATTATTATCTGCCCAAATATTCTTACAATAAAAAAAAAACTGGCTTTAAATAAAAGTTTGATAATCGGTAAAAACACAAATCAATCAGTCTTTCAAAAAAAAAAAAAACACACACAATCAAAAATCACACGGAGTCAAAAACGCCCATTGTTGAGTTACCGGTAAAAGAGAAAAAAAACAAAAACCTCTGTTTAACACACTTTTCCTTTGATGATCCGTAGAATTAAATACATATGAGTATAACCTATCAAATTATGATTATAAATCAAAATAATATTAAAATACAGAGAGAACAGCAATTCACATGCATGCATATATATATATATATATATATATATATATATATGCTCCCGAAAAATTAATTTCGGTCGAGCACTCTGGAGAGAAAGTGCGAATTTGTAAACAGTGACTACAACTGCTGATAATGCAAAGCTCTTCTATGAATTGGGCCCTCTCTGTCGCTGGCGTGTTTATAAATACGCAAAAATTCGCCTTCCTCTCTACCGGGTAGCCCAGGGGTAAAATCACCGACTGATGTCAAATGTTTCGATTCCGGCTTGAGGCAATCGTATGTCTAGCAACACTGATGTGATACAGCGAAACAGTTTGTCTGGGGATGACAATTATATATATATATATATATATATATATATATATATATATATATATATATATATACGATTATTACAAATATAAAATTTGTCAGCTGTTAGATGTTATATACAGCACATCCACTCCAGAGTTTCTCGTCGGAAGATTTCAGCAATAGAAAAGTAAAGTAAGAATGAATCATTAGTGGAATATAACTAGAGTTTATCTCAAATATTCCTTGCCAAGTTATCGATGGGTGTTATTTGACGGCAAATATGGTTTACCTTTATTTACGCTCTTAGCAATTTATGGTATTTATTCAGACTGTCAGGATCGAAATTACAATATGAGATAACTGAAACCGACTTGCTAACCATTGATCTTTGACAGGCGGTTTTTGCATGTACGAGTATTGAATTGGGAATCAATCTAATTTATCTTTCACTGTGTATCGTTCGCCTACGGTTTTTTAATGTAAGAAAGAAGAAAAGAGAATTAATGAACGTCGAAGGTAGGATTGAATAAAACTAGGAAGATGAAGAAACAAAAACAAAAAAATCAACTCCCCGCCACCCCGCCCCCAAAAAATCACACACGCGTGCAGAAAGAGAGAAAGTGTGTTCATACGTGTGAATGACAAAGCAGTGAGAAAAGCAAGTGTCTGTGTTCAAAAGCGCGCCAACGTTTTAGCGTCAAGTGCATTTGTCATTTGGCGGTTGATAGCTATGCTGGTTTGAAATGTCAGTTTCGTGTGGCTAGAAAAGGGAAGGTCAGATAGAATTGACAGTGTGAGAGGGGGGGAAGTGAAAAAGATGTGAAGATATAATGAGAGCGGTAGAGAGAGACGTGAAAACATAATGAAAGAGAGAGAGATGCGAATATGTAGTTATATATATATATATATATATATATATATATATATATATATAGATAGATAGATAGATAGATAGATAGATAGATTATGACGTAGTGAGAGAGTAGGGAGAGAGAGAAACGTAAAAGCGTGATGACAGAGTAAAATATATAGTGAGAGAAAGAAAAGAGTGGTTACGATGGGGAAATGAAGAGAAATACAAGCAATCATAAGTGAAAATCTAGTGAGAGAGTGAGAGAGACATGTTGATGGATAGAGTGAGAGATGGAGAAAGACACAGAAAATTAAGTGAGAGTGAGTTAATGGAATAGTGAAAAAGAGGTGAAGATGTAGTGAGAAAGTGGATAGAGATGTGAAAATGTAGTTAAGAGACGAGAGACATTTTGTTTTTACAATCAGAGTCACCCCAAGCAAGGCAGTAATGCCACTAAAACACAGGGGGTTACAGGGAGTAGAAGAATTAGGAACAGAGACATTAATGATGAGCAGAAAGAGAAAAGAGTAATAATCAGGTGGAAAATAGATAACGATTGACATTGCATTTAAATTTTTGAAGATTAAAGTTGGCTGGAAAGCGTTGAGCCGGAAGCGAGTTCCACGAGCAAGAAGTGTGAGAAAAATATATTTACGGTTACATCGAGCCAGCTCAACTGTAAATTGAGGAGATCTCGACGCCAGTCTAGTGCTGCGCTTAAATTAAAAGACCAGGCACCATAGCGAAGAGTTCAACCGAACAATTACCATGAAAGTATTTATAGAAAAGACATAGGTGATAATGCATCAAAAGAATGAGAGGTGAAATGTTGTGAGAGAAAAGGAAGAGAGTTTTGAAGATGGGGAAATAAGGAGAAATGCTGGTAATCGTAAAGGAGAATTTCATAAGAGAACCCGAGAGAGATGTTGATCTATCGTGAGAGAGAAGAGACGAGAAAGAGACGTGAAGAGTTAGACGATACAATGAGAGATAAGAGAGGAAAGATTATTGCTATAATGATAGATACAGTGGTAATTATATAAGAAAAAGAATGAAAGAGAGAGATGAAGACGTTGTGTGAGTGCATTGTGTGAGAGGAGAGAGAGGAAGGGAGGGAGAGAGAGGAAGGGAGGGAGAGAGAGGAAGGGAGGGAGAGGCTGTACTGATTGACCTTTAATCCTGTCCATTTTGTTCTGTCCATTTTGATTCCATTGTGTTTTCATCACGCGACTTTATTCTCGCCTTCATTCGTGGATTTTTACAATTTTTTTAAAAATATTTTTTTCTTTCTTTTGTCACCAATGATTTTTTTTTTTTTGGCTCGTATTTTTATTTTATATCTAGAAATAGTGGGCGGCCAAACGATACTTTAAAGTAGCATGTTCCCTCAATACATAGGCGATCATTTCCATCCAGTTTCCTTTTCTTTCATGTATCTGAACTACAATGACTATTCTTATAAAAAAAAAAGTAGTGGAATGGTTTAAAACTTGTTTCCCGACCGAAGCTAGAGAGCTCAACACACTCTATTATTTTACACATACTTTCATGT